TTCCCTTAGATTCAATAAAAAAAGGACAACAGCCAGCACAGCAATATCTCTCTGGTGTGAGTGAATTTTAAAAATACCTATTTTTTTGTCAGACTGGCCAAAAATATATTTTTTGATGTGCCACAGAATTTTAGTACCTGTAATTAGTTTCTGTGCCATGAAATGAAAAAAGTTGAAAATCACTGGGTTAGGTACATGGTTTGGCTTAAATCAAATATCTCCATGGATATTTCGAACAGGACCAAATATTTGTTAATAATAAGTGTTCACAATGATAGTCAGTTTTTTTATAGTCAGTTTCAGTTTCTACCGCCTTTGATTATTTTGCTTAGAGTTACCAGAACATGAAGGTCAACTTAGTTGTCTTTCATTCATTTTCTATTACCATCGCTCCTAAAGTTACAGTTTGCTTCCTCCCAATAAATTGACAATTGGATATAACTTTATACCATAAATTATTTCAATAAAAACTGAAATTCTATTTTCTTATGAGAAAAATAAAATGTTTTTTGAAAGATCTCAAAAGGTTAATTTCACAAATAATGTAAATTATTGTGCATTTCTCAGACTAGTTCTTATCTTGCTTGCTTTCTTCACCCAGGTTAACGTGGATGTGCTTTTATGCTGAGGTAATGGACATAGTCACTGAAGCTTCTGTCCAGAGTATTTCTCTATATGGCTCAATTTATATTATTCTTATGCTTCTATTCATTATAACTTAAATCTCGAACTACTTCTTAAACGATCATTATTTGTGTAAGATTGGTATGTTTCGGTGCTCATATTGATGTGATGCAATTTTATACATGCAAGGGAAAAAATGGAACAGGCTATGCCCATATCCTAAATAGCATTTTTTCCCTTTCTCTCCTATTTAATTGATATCCTTTATCACCCTCGTTTCCAAATAGCAGAATTGTGGTATTCCCTCATATTGATCCTTATTACTTCGATGCATTTTAAGTCAGCTGAATTTTTTAATATTTTTATCTACAATAGTAATATTTACTAAACTTAATATTTCTTGTAGCTTAAAAAAAACAGGAAAGCCAGAGCATAGTCATAATAATTATATTGAAGCATGGAAGGAACCTGCCCGACTTAGAAATTATTAAAGATTTTTTATGTTCAATATTGTTTCAGAGTAAAGAATAGTTTATTATGTTCTAATTCTTTCAAAAATCAATTAGTAGTAAGATATTATTCAGATGCTGAAATGAAATATGAATTTTCTTTGGGTAAGGATAAAACCAACTGAGGTTAATGTAGGAAGGAAAATTTTATATGTCTAACTCAAACATCGTATGGTATTCAAACTTTGAAAAGTTAAAAAAGGAAATCCATACAAGAAAAAAGCTTAAAGTAACCAAACGCAATATCTCCAACTATTTTTCAGGATGCCAAGTTAGCAACATTTCAACTTTTTGTCATTTAATATACCTATTTTAAAAATTTATATTTAGCAACATTACATATTGTCTCTCCTACCTAGAATTGATCAAAATCTGAAACTAGGCTAAATTATTTTTAGTGTTAAATAAAATCACATCAGCTTTAGAAATTTTATGTCTGTGAGGCACAGAGAGTTACATCTCTAAATAAAGACAGAGCACATTGTCTAAGACAAAATTGAGCAGGACCAGGAAAAATTAAAATGGGCACCTGGAGTTATTTCAGAGCATCAGAAAAAGAGTAGCTATCCCTGAAAAGAGAATTATGGAAAGTTAATGTGAGAGAGGTCTTGAAGAGTCTCCATTCTTTTTAATATTATATGATGAAATTAAATATAAAACAATTGTATCAAAAAACCCTTATGGACTAGAACAGTGAAGGATCAGATGGAGAGGGAATCTAGAATTTAAACAGAAGGAGCATTGGAGGTAAACAAATAAGGAGGAGACACAAAAGTTTCTGCTAAAATATGTCAGCTGCAAGTCAGAAAGAAACTACCGATAATACTCCCTATACCATTTTTTTCTTCCCAGAAAATAAGAAAGGCAGTAGCTTGCTTCCTCCGCAGAAGGGGCCTCTGTGCTGGGCAAGCGTCCTAAAGTTGTTCCTGAGCACCTAGTGCCTTAGCATCCAAAGATCAACAAATATACACCGTGTTTAGCTGAAGAGTTGTGACATTACTTTTTGGAGGGGGGGGAAAAACACCAACTTTCCTCTTACTCATTCCTTAATTCAGAATAATTTCATGGCACAATTGGAAATCTCATCTAAATGGGGCAGCCCGTCTCTAAATGCATGTCTGAAAACAGATCCTCTTCTGTTTACAGAAAGCAGAAGTGCCTAGGATTTGAAAGGTAGCGGCAAGGGAAGTGAGCGGGGTGAGAAAAACGAGGTGCAGAAAAATAGTCCAGAACCCCTGAAATAAATTATGCGTTTGCATAGTTTTGACACTGTTTATCTTGAACCATATGTAGACAAATGGAGGTTTATGCCGAGAGATTTTCTCATGAGCAGCAATGTGGGCACAGCTCTTTCCATAAACATTCCTTTGAATCGACTAAAATCCACCAATTGATGTCAAAACTCTTCGTTTTGATTAGACTTTCTTATGTCACTTTTTCATAAAATAACTTTGTTCTCAGAAGATACGTGGACAGAGATATGATGGCATTCAGAAAGCTTTTAGGAAAGGTCTGGACTTACGAGAGCCAAGTAGTCTTAATGTTTTAGCACCAATAGAGGCTTAGATTTCTGCTAAGACTCAGAAGCATGTAACCAGGAGCAATGCTAAAGAGGGGTGAAATTACCGAAGTTTTCAGCAGCGTCTCAACTTCTGGGTAGACAGAAGGTAATCTGCCTTTCAGTTCTTGTAGGACAAGATTTGCTTGAGTGCTTTCTGGCATGCTGGGGCCTCCGCTTTGTGGATAGTGTGCATGATTTAAAAGAAGCTGTGTCAGCACTGATTTATACATTGACAGCTAAGGATATTAAGATATGGGCAAACATACAGCTCACCCTTTTACAGATTAACCTGGGGACTGCATTAGGCAAATTTGATAGCATTAAAAGATTTTGCCAATTTGTCTGGAAACAATTTCTCTTTTGTAGTGTGTCAAGGGTAACACTTCATGCCATTGTACTAATTTAAATGGCTTTGATAAATTGTTCAAGAGGTTAGAGAATAATAGTGTAGATATATATTTAGCACTTTAAAATAAAAGGTTATTAACTTAATTGTTAAATGAATTTAATCTGGAAAAATCAAAAGTGCTGAAGAATGTTAAGTGTTTTCTTGGAACTACAGCAGCCGTATTATATCATGAGGCTTTAAAATCTTCTTAGAAAATAAAATTATACTTATGCATAACTTCCCAATAAGTACAAATGCTTTAGGCGATTACAGTTGCATGGATTATTATTTGGCAAAAACCTTTGTTTATAAAAGCAATAAAATTGTATCATCTCTGGGGTTCACCTTTTTTTATATTGCATGTCCTAGATGGTAACATTTGCATGACATCAAGGGAGTCTCCTGTATGACTGTGTCCCCTAGAGACCTTCTTAAAAATGAGATGTATATTTCATGAGACATTCTCTAGGTACAATAATTTCTAAAGTAAGGAATTCAAAGAGGCCCCTCTGGATTAAATCATTGCACTCTTTTTCAGTAGTTTTATGAGAGAAACAGTTATTCTATGGGAATGTTTAAACAGTTGTTTTAACAATAGACCTCGGATATGAATTAGCCCTTTTGGTGAATTCCAAACTTCAGGGACAAGATTCAATTGTACTATGATCATATCCTATCCCTGCACATCTTCATGTAGAGCTGGCAACTCATCTGATTATTTCATCAAATATTCCACTTCTATCTCAAGTGAAGCATTACAATACTTTTTCTTTACTGGAATAATAATATCGCTAAGCACCAAGCTACTAGATTTAAACACTGCTTATAGAGCTGATAGGATTCAGTATTTAGCTGTTCATGTTAACCAAGCAAATTCCTTAGTGTAAATAAGGAAGTTTTAATTCCAAAAACAAATGGCAAGAAAAAGCAGACTTAACCAAGTTTGGAGCAACCTTTTTTTTAAATAAAATATTTGAATTTTAACAAATGAGTACTTAAACTAAAAAAAAAAAAGAATTATATGTTTGAATTTTGTGCTATTTGGAAGGGACTGATACAGCTTTGAAACTTTTTTCCCTAGATTTAGATATTGTTTTAATGATGCTGCTGCAGTATGTTTTGTAGTGTTTTCAGTTGAAATTAGCATCTTTCAGAAAAGGAAAAATTTTAATTAATTTCCTAATACTTAAAAAATGTATTTCCTGGAGAGTAGTATAATTCAGGAAGTTCCTTAACTGAAAAGTATGCCATTTTTACAGTGCAGAGAATTCTCCAATAATGATAAACAGCGCAAATTATGGGAATAGTGAAGCTTAAAATAGAACAACTGCTAGCTTTCTAAAGTGTATTCCTGGTTGGGACTAGCAGGGAGATATATGGGACCTCATTTCTCTTCCTTGATTTGGAGTTCTCGAAGGAAAACTGCTTTTAAAAGAAGAAAACCTAAAAGTAGTCTTGCTCTTTCTTGCCAAGGATAGTGAAATTAACATGCAGCTGGGCTGCTCTGATAAATGGATTCTGTTAGGTCACTGAGGGGGTGCATGTGACATTAAGTGATTTACAGTCCTTTACCTTAATGAAATTGTTTCAGCAAGATGACGCTGAAAGCTCTTAATGGATAGCTTTTCTTGATGTAATGAAATTGCATTCCTATGGCATTTAATATAAGGTGCAGTTATTATTTACAGGAGCTTTCCAAGGGCTGCTATTTGCACAGACAGTTCAGAACAAAAAGAGATTTCAGTGGCGGCATCCAGGCCAGAATGGCTCGTGACATTCTTAAGCAGACGAGCGTATTTGTGAGAGCGTTTCAGTTAGTGCAGCCCAGGCTTCCTAGACCCTTCAGGAGACTTCCTTCCCCGTAACCCTGCAAGTCTTCTTCAGCCTTTTACATCTATTCTTCTAATCTATTTCACAGGCAACTGGATTACAACCAGATCAGCTGTATAGAAGATGGGGCATTTAGGGCTCTCCGGGACCTGGAAGTGCTGTAAGTATCTCTTATTTCTCTTACTCCTGACCGGAGCTTTGTGTCTGGGGAGTGCTCCCGTGGAAGCGTATCTGCTAGCCTAAAACCTAGCATCAGTATGGTCTCCTAAAGAGACACCTTAAATAACTCACGGTGAAAACAGGGAAGAGTCCAAGTGTGTGTGCAAAACCTTGCGTGTCGTATCTCTCGGTTTAGGTAACACTGTCTATTTAAGAAGGGCGCTCAAATGCATACACAGAATGCCATTGAAGTGCTTCTTCTTTAATAAAATATTCTCCTTCACGGAATTTGTGAGAATTCCCAGAACTGCTAAATGTTAAGATAACATGAGTTGTAGAGGAAAAATCACAACAACAACAAAAACAAAGCTCTGAGTAGCTGATATGTTGGTATATTTTGTAGTTGCTATGCAATGGAAAGACTTTTTTACATTTTAGAACATCATTTTTAACCGGGTAACTTAACATCGATTTTGTAAGGTTATTTTGAAGTTGACGATCTAATTTTAATAAGCCGCCCCTCAGGCCCACTGGAAGCCTTCATTACTGACTTAGGAGAGCACAGCACAGAGGCTGGGATAGAATGGCACCCTCTCCCTTTCCTCCTGGGCGGACGTGACGGACAAAATAGGTTAGAGACAACTGAGTAGCCTCCACCGATCTTTGACTTGGTTAACATAATTTAAATTAAGTTGGTAATCATAATACAAATAATTTTAATGAAAACTAGAGTTACTAAAGCCACTGAGGCCATCTATATGCTGCTGGATTTTTTTTCCAGTCAGAGAGTCCTATTTCCGGCTTTTCAAATGTACTTACACATTGCTTCACCCTTTAAAATAATTTTTTTGTGCTCTGCTTCATCCCTGATTCAGTTGATTCAGAAATCCAAAACTAAATTAAATGCGAAGAAGTTTCAAATGTTGAGTCCATGTGGTAAAAGTTATCGGGAATCATGAAAGCCCCCTTGAAAAAAGATTCCACTGCTTTATAAACTGAGTTTGAGAAACAGGATGTAATTCTGGAAAAAAAGGAAAAGTTTAATATTTCAAGCAGAATGACTTAATTTTAGCAGTATTTTCTATATGATTTTGATTTTAATTGTGAAAAAATCAATAGAATTTCTAGCTGTATCATATGATGTTATTATTTTTAAAAGCTTATGTAAGAATGAGTTTGTAGAGATAGACTGTGTTATAAGAATATATACTGTTCTCTAACCACAGGAGATGTCACCTTTGTTTCTGTTGACAACAGTCTAACTTTTTCTATAGGGAAAACCTTCAAGGTGCTTGTCATACACATTGTAGTTATAAGGCCACTTTTAAAATTGTGTTCCAAAGCTAGTTTTAATATATGAAGCTCACTGATGCCAATTCAGAGTCAGACTGATTACGATGAAACTATGATTTCATGATAGTAGTGTGATAGCAAGACTGTGGCCCACGCCACTAAACTTTGTATGTGAAGAGACCACCACAGGCCATTTTTAATTCAACGGAGCTGATCAAGCCAAAAAAAAATCGATCCTAAGTCAGTGCTCCTAACCAGAAATATGAATGGTACCAATCATTTTGTGGGAATTTTGCTGAGTATTTTGGATAAATTAAAATTCCATCAAGTACTTTGTTATTAAGAGTTTAAATAAATATTGAATATGGAATAATTCATATATAATATATTGAGTATGGGTTGAGTACTCTATAGAAAGGGACAGAGAGGATATGATTAATGTGTATTTTTATATATTTACATTTGTAGAGAGAGGGAGAGAATGTATTTGAGCGAGAAAACCTGTTATGTGCCAAGCACTGTGCAGGCATTAAAACCTCTACCCATAAATGCTATAACTCTTTATTTGCTTTGTTAAATACAAATATCATTGCTTTTAGAAGCAGTAAATTCATGAAAACATAATCATCTCATTCACCTTGTTTTTGTATTAGCAAAATATATAAAAAGTGACTTTAGAAAGACCTACCATCATAAACACGCCAAAGAATGATAAACATTTCATGGTTCACGGAACTAAAATCAAAGTCTAAAGTGTTGAAAACTCTTTTGAGGACCTAATATGTGGGTCTCAGAGAGATATGTAATGATCAGAGTTTGTCTGCTAAAAAATAAATAAATAAAATTAGCACATGATATAAGAAAATATGAATTTTTTTCAAGATGATTTAAATATTTTATATTGAAATTTTATAAAGTCAAGCACACATTCTTTTAATATATGTTAATTTTTAAATCCTTATAATTTATATAACCTTTAGAGAAATTAGTTGAAAAATTTAAGGAAATATTGGATGAAGTACTGAAAACACTGGAATTTATTAAACCCAAATATCTTGTTACGTAAATCAGAAGTTCACCTATTATAAACATTTGGTCAGGAGTTTTTTTTTAATAGAGTTAACTTCTGAAAGGTTTCAGAAAGAAAGTTCGGCTTTGCTTATTTTTACCAATCATAACTCTATAAACTATATTATTTGATTATGTGGAAATAATGAGGGAACATTAATTTGCATACCTTAAATTTCAGATCCCTAATGATTTCGATTTTTAAAAATTTTAATTCCATGAACCACATATGAATGTATGAATATATTGAGGCCAAACAAGAGATGGGAATAATGACCCAGGGCCACGGATGAAAATTTGTTAGATTAGGGTATATATTAAGGTAGAGTGAATAAAGATCAAGAAGGTAAAGTTAAGGTAGGTTAAAGTAAGCAGGCAGTTTATCACTTGTATGTTCATGGCCTTACTGTGGAATTTTGGTTAGTAGGATTTAGAACTTGTCTTTTTCTAAATATTAATATACCATGTCAAAAACAACATTGGAAATTAAATTTAGATCAATATTTTCTTTTTCTTTGGATGCTTGAATCAAAAATAAAATATATCCCTTGAGTTACTAATTTTAGATAGTTTTTTTTCTTTTTTATAGAATGCACACAGTTTAATTTAGTTGAAACGGTGATTCATAACCATTAAATATCAGACTCTCTACCAAATCCTATGCCTGGCACTAAAGGAATAAAAAAATAAATATGTTAAGATCTAAGTCCTATGTAATTAGTAAGGCTAATGTTTTATATTTACATACCAAGATTTTCTTTGTACAAGAATATACTCTTTATGAAGAGAAAATCTTACCATTGAACCCAGAAATAGACTTTTTCATGAGCATAACATACATGAACATATCATCATCACACCTAATCAACACATATTTATTACTAAATTTTAGGTAAAAATTTCATTGGTTCCATGTATCATTCCGTTACCAGGTGTCAGTATCAATATTGCTTTGCCGACATCAATACTTGCCAACATCAATACTAAGCAAAATCCTAAGATAATTTATTTCTTCAGTTGCATTACACAATCTAACATTTGAGAGGAGGCTTCATATTGATAGCCACCAGCTTCGACATTAAGTGAATTTCACTTTTATGTAGAATCTGAAGAAATTATAGCTCAGAATGAATGTGTATCTACCGCACTGGATTACTTTAAAAATATATTACCCTCAAAGTCACATTTTAGTATGCTATGCACTCTGAAGATTTTTACTATATAAAGTCAGCATAAATTTTTTGGGTGGGAAAAGGAGTCATTGGAAAGCAAATCCCTTTGAGAAGTGAAACCTTTTAGTGCAAACATCAGGATATATTTAATGGCGCTTGAAAAAAAATCTCATTCCACTTTTGTACAAGGAGAATGCTACAGGCTTTTAGATAACATGAGCTGTCCAATTCCGAGCTTGGTAGGTCCTTCATAAAGTGGACTTTTTTCCATGTGACTTAAATCAAATCACTTGGATTAGTTCTCATTTTCAATACATTGCAAAACTGGAGAATAATAGATTCAGTGCCTGTCCCAGATATGTGGCTCTAGTGCCTTACTTTACCGAGAAGTTTAAGTTAATCCCTCGACCCCTGAATACCCCACATCCCACTGTGAACAACTGCAGCCACCAGCTGGCCTAACGTGGCCTCCCAAATGTACATTGCTTAGACCAAATGGACTTGGCCTACGGACTCTGAAATATTTGAGTTGGTTATCAGTATTTAAAAATTAAAAATTAGGAGGATTGATCTCAAAACTTCCAACTCTAGCTTCTCTTGAGAAAAATCAGATTGTGCGGCAGCCTTACATGACAGCAGAGCGTTAGTCCATTGGCACCGAATATTAACACTGCAACGAAGACTATCATCGCTAGTTTTGCAGGGCTCTCGTTCCCAGCTGTCTGCTGCTCTTCCTCGTCTCTCTTTCCCACTGTGTTTTGGTATGACCAGCCTGCTTCTCTCATGTATGCTCCCTGCCTAGCCCCTGTAGGCAAGTGAATTTGTGACTTCTAATTCAAAGCCTTCTCCAAAACCCAAGGTATCCACCTGCACTATTGAATCCATCTTTTCTGCCTCCTTCAGGAGCTTGTGCTGCTTAGTCAACAGCCTACTGTATCTTCCATGCGCTCGAATCATGTTCTGTCTCCGCTCTGCACTCACACACCCTTTGGACAACGAGCTTTACATTTTCTTGTCACAACCAGACGTCTCCAAAAGGAAAAAAGAATTCTCTTCTTATTCTTATTAACTCTTTAACTTTTCGTAACTTGAGTAATTCACCTCACCAGTTGGACTATTTGCTATTTTCATATAAGTTTATGAAACTGATTTATTATTTATAATATTTCATGGTGCCATAAAAATAAGAGCCATTCAGGAAATATCAGATGAATGAATGATTAGAAATAGCGGTAGAAATAGTAATAACACAACTAACAATGCTCGTTAGGGGAAAAGCAGGAAAAATTTGAACCAAGCAACAATCGTACTTACTTTCACCATATCTCCCTTGACCACCATTGTGTTTATTCTAGCTTCATGAAACCATGATCATTACCACATAGCTCTGAAAAAAAAAAAAGGCACAGTATGTGTGGCTGCAAGTAAACACCTAGAATATATTAAGCTTTTAATATACTGCCACCGAATGACACTTCACCCGCACCCAAGGCAAACACCAAATATGGATATTGTTCTTTCTACTCAAATTTCAACAGTGGCTAATGTCTTCAGTAAATAACAATTAGCAGGACTCTGTCTCGGGACCTGAGAGAACTGATTCTGTGCTATTGCTAGGTGATTTCAGTTGGAGCTTTCAAATATGTTCATTTACTCATGGACACTAATTACACTTAATACCCCTCCAAGGAAATGTGACTACTCACTGTTTCCACTGTGACTGTCTTGCACTTGTTATCGTAAACAGACATGCATGCATGCTTATGGTGCATCAGACAACATGCAAATAGTGAAGATGCTATGGCCAAAGCCATAAATTTGTAATAAATATATAACTGAATGCATAGTGATATGTTAAAGTATAAAATTTATTTATCATCTTGTTCTCTATGCCATCTCTACCAGCGGTAGTTATTTTGTGTAAACATAGTAACTAGACGCTTTCTTTATAGTCACACATACAATAATTAATGCATTTTGTATCTAACATTTTTGACTATATTTTTAATTCTACAGCACTCTCAACAATAACAACATTACCAGACTTTCTGTGGCAAGTTTCAACCATATGCCTAAACTTAGAACTTTGTAAGTAGTCACAATCTCTATATAAAGGTCAATCTAATCAATTAAGGTTTCCCCTTAAGTAGTATTTTTAGTAAGCAAAGAACAGATAGTTCATTATGGCGTAGAAAAGGAAAACACCAGTTTTACTAATGTTCTAAATATGGTATTTGAGTAAATTATTCTGGAAACTTGAAAGCTGTGTTTTAAATGTGATGTGTTCTGGGAAGTTTGGGGGAGGAAAGTTTACTCTGCGCCATTGTGGAGGTCACATTTCATTAAGAAATGGAAGGCTCCTTGATTGGCTGTCAGAAATGATAAATGGTAAATCTTTATGATTTTATTACTGTATGTCACGCAGCCCTAATAAAGCTAAACTAGCTCTCCAGCATTCTTTGTAACATAAAATTACAGCATCACCTTCTAGTGTTTCTATAATTAAGGTTGTGTCAGCATTTCTATTTAAAAATACCTTTTCAGGGTTACGGATGGACGTTACAATATTTTTAGGTGAATAAAATGGCTCTCTAATAAAATATCTGCTACAGCTATTTTATTTCCTCGTGCTGAAAAAGTAATCCTTAAAGCCCTGGGTGGGGATATTTATTTAAAGCATTTTCCAAGATAAATCTCATTTGGACTCAGTTATAGAATTAGTTTGACATAAGAAAGTATATTGTATACAACGTGTGAGAAACATAACCAAAGCATTGGACTTCTTGAAAAAGTATATTTTTAAGTAGAACACATATATTTTTATTGGGTTTTCAAAATATTTTTATCTTATAACCATTGATAACTAGATATATTACATTCTTTTCTGTTTTTAATAAGAAAAAATTGATTGAATTGCCAGACTTTAAATAATCAAGCAATACAAATCTTAATGTCATTTTTTTTTCTCACTAACATGTAGCTCTGTATGTAGTAATCTATCATTATAATTTTCTTGGAATATGATTTAGTAAAGTAAAGGAATTCTAAAAGTATGCTGATATAACTAAATTTTGTTTTCTTGGGGGCTATCTATCAGTTTGGATAATCTAACCAAATTACGAGCCCAGTTCACTCAAACTATATTTAATAAAATTGGTTTCTCATTAAATGTGGTTAATTTTTTTAAAAAACAAATTGATCAAGCTTTCATTTTTTGCAAAATAAAGCCACTAAGACTGTAAAATCATTTATCATCTGCATTTTTGATAGTGTGCCTTATTTTTTTTTTTTTTTTGAAGAAATCCACCACAGTTTCTCTTACTGATCAGGTTTTTACATTTTTCTTTTCTGGTATCACGGGTGTACATGTAACCGAATCACTATAATGTGATTGGTTCAGATGGAAATATTTAGAGAACAATGGTGTGGAATGTGCTATGTGGTTTTCAAAGGATGCCCCTCTGTCTGCCAGGCATACTGAGCCATAGGTCACCCAACCTTCCCAAAACATAGCTTTTTGTTCTGTGTCTTGCCACCTAGTGTTGATGCAAGACTGTTCCATATCTGCAAGCTCAAGGAGAATAGAAAAAACCTTCTAACTTTAAATCCCCTTGCTTTGGTTGTTTCATTACTCTATATTATCACTGCTACTTCAAAATTCCATTTTTATGGTACAATTATCTTTCTGGACTGAGTTCCATGTTTTAATATCCATTACTGTTATTGGGTTAGAATTGAGCACATCAGCTAAAAAGGGCTAAAATGGTATTACTATGTCATAGGTGATTCTGGGAATGATGCTTTGATTTATAGCTTTGGATGTCCTTTTCTTTAGTTTGAGAAAACATAAAAGCCAGTTTGAAGTCATTTGCCTAATTTAGTGGATACATTTGTCTGATGTTTTATTAATGGAGAAGTGCTATTGGCCACTTGGATGGGTTCCATGATCTGGTGTGGGTTCCTGCCAACACAGAGGGGGGCCACTTAATTCCTTCACTCCTAGCCATTTATGGCTTTTAATTCCAGTTTCTACTCTTTGAGGATAGGTTCCCAAGAGCCAAAAGCTGCTGATCCCTTTTTCTGATACTACACAGAAAGAAGGAAATCAGAATACGGGTCTGAAAGAAGTATTTTTATACTGAAATATTTTTGTTTTGTTGAGCAAAAAATAAAAGTGAGCCACTGAAAAGATTCCACAAGCAGTTTCTGCAGAGACTAATAATGAGAGGGCTAACTAATAATTCAAACTGGGAACCATGACTTGTTAACATGCCTCCTAGCCCTCTAGCCTATCCCATGCTTTGCCTCCCCATTCCTCAACCCCGATTGGCCGTCATTGTGTCTGGACTGCAGAGCAACTGGCCTTAGACTCCCTGTTCCTCTTTAGCCTTTTGGGTGAACACAGCTGAAGAATTTCCATGGTCATGTTGCAGCTTCAGTCTGTTTGCTTGGCTTACAGGTAAAAGACGAGAGACTTGATTCTGTGCTTATAAACCAGTTTAATTTTCAGACAAATAATTTGATTAAAAGTTGCTAAGCTTTATCTAATAATGTGTTGAGAAATAAAGCTATTTATTAATGCTAAAGAATTTTTACCAGGTTTTGAAATAACTGTTTCTGTGTTCTTGTCTTAAACTTCTTGCCTTCCATTTAGTCGCCTGCATTCCAACAACCTGTACTGTGACTGCCACCTGGCCTGGCTCTCTGACTGGCTGCGTCAGAGGCCCCGCGTGGGCCTCTACACCCAGTGCATGGGCCCGTCCCACCTGAGGGGCCATAATGTAGCTGAGGTTCAAAAACGAGAGTTTGTCTGCAGTGGTAAGGGAGACAGAACCTTTATGCTGTTTGATTTTATGCCGTATTTAAGGAAACGGTGAAAAACGCATGCTTTAAGAGTTTCGATGTTTCTCACTAACACATGCAATTGTGCACTAATCACTGTATGGAAATCCTCGGTTTCAGTGATGGTAATAATATGTTCTAAGACATTTGTGCATGGTTGGTAATTACTGATTACCTGTACCCAAAGTATGATGAAAGACTTTTCAGTTTTCACTCCAGGGGAAATATAGGAAATCCCTAGATTTTAGGTCTATTTGCTACTCATTATTTTCCCTTTAAGTAATCATTTATAACTACTTTTATGTTAACAACTGGAAATATGATTAATTAATCCTGGATCTCTGCTTGGAAATTCAAAAAGTAACTCCACTATAGCTGCAGAGTGACAGAATGCTTTCTGTGTATACATATATACTAGGGGTTCATTTCTACTTAAAAGAGATAAATGGCTAGCTTTAGTAACAAAAATCTGAAAACAAAAATAAGACATGGACTGTTTAAAATATCAGTAGGTAACATTTACTTAGTTCTTTATATGTGCTTAAGCACCAATCTAAGTATTTCACATATATTTGCCTCATTTCACCTTCCTCATAACAACTGTTGAGAAATGTAATATTATGAGCCAATCCATGGATAAATAGTTAAATAGGTAGATATGTATACTGTATTTATAAAATTATATGTTAATATTATTTTGATCCATATTAACATATAATTTCCTTTATAAATATAGGGCTGGTTCTGCTTTAGAAGTAACTGTCCAAAATACAATAAAAGACATTTTAATAATATATGTAATACATTATAAATAGTTAACCAGTTCTTGAAGGAATGAAAAGATGTGCTAGTACAGGATTCTAAGTTATTGGTATCTTTTAGTCCTTTTTATGTATTTTCACACACTTTTGATAACCCAAACCAAATTTTCTTATAATGTCATGGAATGTACTCAGTAGGGCCTGATCGCTTTTTTATAAAATTAAATAATGAAATGACTAACAACTCGTTACTAACCACTTTTTTCTCTCTTCACTTTTCCCTTCCTGTTCCCTAGATGAGCCAGAAGGCAAGTGCACATTTCTTGTTTAGGCTGAGACCATTTCTGTCCAGTGTGAGAGCTGGCTGGGAGGCAAGGAGAGAGGGCCACCGGGCAGCAGCGCCATGCGCAGGCACACACCCCTTTGCCAAAACACCGCCAACACCGCCCTGCCTCATTCGAGCAGTCAAATCTCACTTCAAAATAGTATCGTTTCCAAATAGTGAGCAGAAAAGTTATCTACCTGCAGGAAAAGAATACTTATGCTAACGTTTTAGGTTATGGGAAGCCAAAAATAGACACATACCAACAATTACAGAATGCTGTGTTACAAATTATCATTATAACTGAAAATGACTGGTTTTGCACCTATTCAGACATTAAACTTGGCATGAACTAATTTTTCGCCACATTTATTGCCACGTGATTACTTATTTAAAATCAACAGTTATGCCTACCAAGAGGGAAATTTTTATTTTTGAGATAAAGTAAGTTAAGCTATACAAGTCGAGTAAAGACCAAGCTCTATTTAAGCTTATTAGAAATGAAACGTGGCTTAGTCTGAAGCTGATGCTTTTCTGGACTTCAAAATAGTTTCTAATAGAGTTCTAGTTTCACATCTGAATTTATCCTTTCTCACAATGATTTCAAGTGTTAAAAATTATCATAGTTATAATTCCCTTTAAAAATCTCCTTTGCTTCATCAGAGTGTTGGCACGAAAATTATAAATGCATGCCTCCTAAAATCTGTTTTAGAAATACAGGACCATTTTACAATCAGGTATTTGAGTAATGTATTTGACATGCTTTGTTATTTGACATGAGCTTGCATGTCTCATAATTATGAAGTTCAGGAGGAAAAATGTAATTGCTGTTTGTGTTTTTGTGTTTTTCAGGTCACCAGTCATTTATGGCTCCTTCTTGCAGTGTTTTGCATTGTCCAGCTGCTTGCACCTGTAGCAACAATATCGTAGACTGTCGTGGGAAAGGTCTCACTGAGATTCCCACGAATCTGCCTGAGACTATCACCGAAATGTATGTGCCCTGAAATCTTCCTCTACCCCTCTGTCTCCCCAGGGACCCAGACCATGACTTTCCTTAGGAGAGTCTGGGTTTATCAAAGGCAAATCTGATCAATTAGCTTAGACAAATGTTCCTTTCAGAATGGTATTGACCCTTACTCTGTTTAATTAAATGTCTTGTTAAAATGGCTAGGATTTGTCTTTTTAAAACACAGGTGGAATTTAAAGGAAGGCATTTTAAGGTTAAACATACTTTTCCTTCCCTTGGGGAAGGGTTATGGGGCTATTTAGGAAAAATAAGAATGGCTATTTCAGCCTGACCTAGAGGGTCCAAGGGTCCCCCCCAGTCTGTTTCAAGCCTGACGCGGAGAGGGTAAATCGCAGAAGCAGGAGGACCAGTGTTCTCCCTCCTCAAGAGCTCACATTTTCAAATGCGGTTTAGCTATTCTGTACAAACTATTATATAGTCCACCGCAAAGGACAAAAAAGGATAATGAGTCAAAAAATTAGATAGTTAAATGAGTGATCACATTTGCCTATTTGAGTCAGCGTTAAACCCATCAGAAGTTAAAATCTCTTGACAAAGTATTTCACTCCGATCTTGTGAGCAGCCGCAGTGTGCTCTTGTCCTTGCCAAGCGTAAGTCATGTGCATATAGCAAGGTCATGCAAAATGGGAAGTGGACTGCTACTACCATCTCAAGTCGCAAACAGGAAGGGAGATCTTTACTCCACTATCCATTCACTGAGAGAGCGCTTCTTAACCACCTAGGCAGCCATGTTATAAAGACACCAATTCTAAATATTAACTAAATGAATAGCTTTGGGCATCTTTTTGTTGAAATAATAAAATAGGGCCTCCTTCTTGTGATAAATCTATATAGTAGGCACAAAATAATTAAGTTATTTTCAAAAACTATTCATTTTTATTACATTTATCGGGGTCAATTGGTAATAATATAAGTTTCAGGTGTACAATTTTATGATACAACAATATATTCTGTCTTGCCACCAGAAGTTGCCTCCTTCTTTTATTTATTTATTTTTTGCCAATTAACTGCTCTAATTTATTCCACTATCCATTCACTGAGAGAGCGCTTCTTAACCACCTAGGCAGCCATGTTATAAAGACACCAATTCTAAATGATATATGAGAATAACCTTAATTCACAAGACCCACTATCATCACTTTAAAGCATCTAATATGTGATTAAAAACATGCTTAGAGCTTTGCTGTGTTAGACAGGATCCTCTGTAGATATTCTAGAATTTATGGAGATTTGATCCAGACATGGAATAAGGTATGCACAAAATGGTATTATTCTCATCTAGTTTTTAACTGATGGAACACTGCCTTGCATAGAAGACCTCTAAGTATTTTTTAGCTGAACCTGGAAAGAAGAATAATATATGGTTTCAGAAGAGATAGGTGACAACCCATAAAAGAGAAAGAGCAGGAACCTAGGGCAGAGGTGGCAGTGAGTGTTGAGTTTTAGAGATTGTACATTTGAGCTTAATCGAAGTACTAGGTGCATGTTGAGGCATCGTGGAAAAGGATACCTGAAAAAGGACATCTCTGTATAATTTTCAGACCACAGAGTATTGAAGGACTTTCATCTTAGAAGGTGTAATATGTGGTGAACTAGATAGTAGAAAGACATGTTAAGTTTTAGAACGGGGGAATAGCATATTCATCTATCCGGGCATGAGCATTTATTGAACGTTGTATAAAGGCAGCATGAGTTCTCCAGAGATCTCTCATCAAATGACTAGCAAATCTGACACTCAAAAACTATGAAATGAGGTACAAAATAGTAACTCATTGTAAGAAAGGAACAAATAAAGTCAAAGGTATTTATTACAGAGGGCGTAAAGTGGAGGGCAAGGGAGAGTGGTTAATAGGAATCAGAAAGTTTTAGTTAGAACCACAGGTCTGCCTACTGCTTACTCTCTGTGAGACTGTGGAAGTTACTTCTCTTCTTTGAGATTGTCCCCACATCTGAAAGCAAGGGTTATTGTTAGTTTGACACGGAATCATTAACACATGTTGCGCTTTATGCGCTTAGCATATAGTAATCATTCAATAAATGGTACCTTGATCAGTGAAGCCTTCGTGTGTGGGGGAGGTAACTTGTGAGGTAGGCCTTGAAGAATAGGTAGTGAATAGAAATGCAGAGATGACAAAAAGACTTTCAATGTTAATAAAACATCATGAGCAAAAGCAGGAAGAATGGTGATACAGGGCACTACAAAGCTCACTTTGGTGTTTGTAGCAAGAGGGAGTGCAGGGAAATAAAGTTGGAAAGGTTGGCTGGAGCCAATTCTTGGAGGGCCTTTGATAGAATAAGGATCTTTGGGTTTATTGAGACAGCACTTGAATGCGGGAGTTTTAATCTGAATCTTCAATAATTAATCTGACAGCCGTATACCAGTGGTTGGCAAAAGGAGAGAATACCAGGCCTGAGGCCTCTTAGGAGGCTATTATGTTGATCGAGGGGAGATGTCACAAGAACAGGGGCTAATAAGTAACTGTCAGAATGATGATGTGGAAGCAGAATTAATGGGATTTGAAATTTGATGCGATGAGGGAATAATGGAGAAAAATGGACCAAAGATGATGCCAGAGTTTTGAGTAGGAGAGACTGGGAGATGAGGATTATATTGGTGTATGTAAGAAGCTGAGGGGCAGGACCAAAACGGGTAAGGAAGGTGGTGGTGAGCAATGTTTGTGAAATGCCAAAGTACCAATGAGAGCCTTGGAGGTGCTGAAATGAAACAGGCAGTGAGGAATGTGAAAGACTAAAAGTAATATGAGACATTTAAAATGGTTTATCTCATGTAGTCTATTTTATTTTTTACAATAGAGCCTTTCTTCTACTTTGCATGCTCTATAGATTTTGTATAATGGTAGAATTTAGTAACATAAAAGTTATACAAAATAATATGTCCCATTGGTTTTGCCTATATTGAGGAGGTGGTGTATGCAGTAAAGCTAGAATAAATTAAATTTATAAGTTGAGATGAAAATATATGTTTAGCTCTAGGTGAATTTTATTTGCCTGATTATTACATTATCAGCTTTATCAGTAGAGCATATGGTAATAAATCATTTAGATCTTCAACTCCAACAAAATACCCCCATTACCATAGGTTATATTGGCATAATTTACCAGCTTAGTAATCTATTTTTTATTAGAATAAAGGACATCAGTGAAATTCATAAAATGTGGAAATAAAGCTGTGCAACATCTTCTAAAATTTTTTATAGATCCAGGTTTTTAATATATGATGAACTAAAAATTATACATTCATATTTTAAAAATAATTTTTTAGTCTGGGTTTTACCATAAATTATTAGACTTTCTTTATTGAAAGTTGTCAGATATTTCTTTCAATAATGTTGAGTTGATTTCTTACTGTGTGGTTTGTCCTTTTTCCTTCAACTATCTCATTATATAATTCTTTATTTTTTAATTTTTTAAAAAGATTTTATTTATTTTATTTTTAGAGAGAGGGGGTGGGGGGGAGAAAAACATAAATGTGTAGTTGCTTCTCACACACCCCCTACCGGAGACCAGGCCTGCAACCCAGGCATGTGCCCTGATTGGGAATCAAACCGGCGACCCTTTGGATCACAGGCCAGCATTCAATCCACTGAGCCACACCAGCCAGGGCTCATTATATAATTCTGACCAAAAGAAAGTATGTATGTGCTCTTCTTGGAGTAATCAATTACCAAAAAAAACCTTACTTAACTTATCCTTTTTTTTTTTTTTGCTTTGTGTTTGCATCTGTAATTACACATTTCTGATACTTGTTTAAACAGTTACTTGTTAATATATAGAAGGGAAACAATCTTTTAAAGTCAGAATTGGAGAAGAAAGAATAGAAAAAGACTAATATTTACCCAATACCTGCAGTATTGGATGTTATACACACATTATATGATTTGATCTTTCCATTGACCTTTGCTGGCATACTTGGGAAAACCAGCACAGAGGCATCTGTTAGATAGATGTTGGTGGTTTTCTCCAAGGAGGCTTGTTATCCTGTTGATTTTTACCATGACCCAAGATCTGTCCTCCCAATTTGTAGATTAGAAACTGGATTCTGACTGCACCTAATTATTACATATATATGTAATATATATATGTGCATTTCTGTAGAAAAGACATTAGTGCTTTTTAAACATAAAATCTGTAAAAATTAATGAATAGCATGTTTCTCATACTGGCTTGGACTGTACTCTCTCTTTCTCACACTGACCAAACCCAGTATCTAATAGGTCTCCTTCTTCCTTAGATAATGATACTTAATTGAGTCTTCTTGCAGATATCTCAGACATCTTTCTCTAAGGTCATATTTCATCTGTAATGAAGCCATAGACGCTTACCTCAAGTGCCTAAAAGGCTGGCAACTTCAGTTTGCCTTTTTAAAAAGATGAGACTCTTTATACATGTCCCTTGACTTGACCCTTGGACAAGGACAATCCGGGGTGGGGATAGAATGGGAGGGGCTGAGCAAGGCAGGGGAGAGCAATGAGGGAAAAATGGGGACAACTGTAATTGAACAACAATAATTTTTTTTAAAAAAAAAAGACAAGAAGAAAAAATGGTGAGGCTCAAAACTGTTAAGGAATCTTGTGAAACAAAAATTCAGTTGTGAAGTGGTTAAACTGGCTGTACTATTAAATTTACCTGACTCCAAAGTTCATGTTCGTTTTTCTGTCTAGCTTCCCAAGAAAGAGAGACATGGCTTCCTAGTTTGTTGGGATGGAGTGAAGGGGAATATTGAAAAAAAAGTCACAAGAGTCTGACTGATTAGTCAGAAAAACAGGGCACGGGAAACTAAGAAACTTACGTGCTGAGAGAAGATAGGAGGAGCATAGAGAGAGACAAGGCACTCAAGTACAGGCGTGTTTGCAAACCTGAGACCTGCGTCATATTACTTTATATCTAGAACTATAATGCCATCTTTCTTATCCTCTGTTAAATATTCTCATATCTCCCTGAAT